TAGAATCGCAAGGTTGGAAACGACCTGCAAGATCATCTAGTCCAACCACCGTCCCATTCCCAGTACCACAAACATAGCAAACATCTTGTAGGGTTGTTCTGTTAGGATAAGCAACTGCCAGCAAAAGAAAACAGATTGAACAAGCATCAAAGAAGCCAGGGCCTCTACACAAGGCCGGACTGTGTGACTCCGTGAGAAGGTTGGGGTGTGACAGGCAGGCATCGAGATGCTCCCCTCTGTCCTCCTTCCGAGCTTATCTCTATGCAAGGGAGGCCAGGCAGATATCCAGAAACAAGGACCAAGTGTGGAGTGAGGGTCAGAAGTTCATTAATTAATTGGAAGTTTACGCTTAGCCAGCAGAGATCTCTGTTTGTCCCGTGTTTGACCTCACGGTCTATTGCTGATGGGAAGAGAGCAGACGTTTAGGGGGCATGGAAAATCCTGTGGTGATCACCATCAGAGAAGAGATTTTGAAAAAAGAGAGTTATCATAACCTAGTATGGATCGTTCAGTGCAGAGACTGAGGGACATCATGGCTGATCTGTACAGGGACAGTGTGGGGGGTACCTGGCAGTGTGCCAGCTGCCATCATCCACAACAGCCAGACTTCTGAGGTCACCTGCCCAAACATTCTTTTTGCTCAGCACTTTATTTCTGCAAGAGAGATTTGATCATGGCACGTGCATCAGTCTTCAAACACCCCATCCTAGGAGCAAGGAGCAAGGAGTGGCACTAATACTTACGGTGAGGCACGGGAACAGGTAGCCCAGAGCATCTGCACACGTCCCATCCCTGGGAATGCTCAAGACAAGCTCAGATGGGGCACTGAGCATCCTGATGTACTGAGTGGGGTTGGAACTGGATGGATTTCAAGTCCCATAGCTGGCATAGTTCATGTTTTTTATGTTTACAATACATATTTATGTCTACAGACACATTTTTACAATTATTTTTCCGTGCAAGGTGCCACGTGGAACATTCCCAGAAATCAAGCACACCTGCTCAAGCAGGTTTCTCTATTTCATATACATGCAGCACTACATACACGCTCAGCCAGTAAATACAGAAGAAACATCTCCTACCTACAGACTCACAGGGAGCAAGCACAATACTCTGTCCCCTTTTACTTGCTTTCCCAGCCATTTCTGCTGGCGTGGGTTGCGTGCTAATCTCACATGACCCTCAGTGGTCATTTGGGGTGTGCTTCCCTCTCTCGTTTTAGCCTTCTTTGGTCAAGAATCATGTAAGGACACTGTTGTTCCCATTGTGCACTATTTTTTCCCAGTTCTGAGAGCCAAAGGGGGCATATTCTGGGCTAGTCACAGTCCTGCTGACATGCCATGTTCTTCTTCAGGGAACATGAATTATCCAAATACCCAGCAACAGGGGAGAAGGCACTCTTCTGTTTCCAGCAGTGCAGCAAGCAACACAGTCAGAACTGCTCTTTTTCCCTTTTGCTTGATTTATCATTTGTTGACTCCTTTGCATATCGTATTGTCTTACATTATCACAGAATCACAGAATTGTAGGGGTTGGAAGGGACCTCCAGAGCTCATCGAGTCGAGTCCAACCCCCCTCCCAAAGCAGGTTCCCTACAGCAGGTCGCACAGGTTGGCATCCAGGCAGGTCTTGAACATCTCCAGAGAAGGAGACTCCACCACCTCCCTGGGCAGCCTGTTCCAGTGCTCCGTCACCTCACTGTAAAGAAGTTCTTGCGCATGTTTGTGCGGAACTTCCTATGCTGTAGTTTCCAGCCGTTTCCCCTTTTGACGTTCTCTGCTGACCAGTGGAGTCCTCTGAAGACCAATGAAGGACCCTGATGATCTCTGACATCTGCCAATGACCAATAAAGCCCTCAGCAAAGCCATGCTCTGTATGTTTGTGTCCTCATCCCCATGCTCAGCAGGGACCACTCGTGTCTGTCCCTGCCTGGCAGAGGCCACCCCTAAGTGCTGGGAGGGTCCCCAGCTCCATGCCCCGCACCCCACATCCTGCACCCATGGGCCTCTCCATCCCCTCTGCTCCAAAATCATAAAGGATGGAGCTCCCCATGCCACCAAGCAGCCCCAGTACCCTCCCTCTGCTCTCTCCCAATTCCTCCTTCCAGTTCCTCCCAAACCCTTCAGCCTTTGGTCCACCTTCTCCATGGCCATGATGTCTCCAGGTCACTCTCCTTTTACCCCCTCCCTTTCTCAGACAGTTGCCCCTCACTGGGATCTGCTTTAGCTCTCTTCCTTCAGTCCCAGTTCCGCCCCATCATTACCCAATATGGAGTCCCCAGATCCCCTCTCTCAGGCACCTCAAATCTCCTCACTGATGACACCCTCTGTTGATTAGCGAAGCCCTCTGACCTCAGTGAAGATCTCTGATGATCAGTGGAGCCCTCTGACAGCCAACGAAGCTTTCAGATGACTGCTGACACTCCCTGATGGCAAACTGAGCCCCCGATGATCTGCGGGCTGCTTCTTCACATGCAGGAAAGGGAAGCAAAGGGTGAGAAAGAAGATTTGGACATCATTTGGTAGACAGTGTGGTTTGCTCATCATAGTATAAAGATCTGTTGAGATCAACCAAGCACAGAATTCAGCATGAACTCTCTGCTGCTGAAAAACAGTTTTCTGAAAGCTGGCTTTGCATCCTGACCTGCCAGGGCTATGATTTCCATTCCTGGGGGCTCCTGGGATTGTGCTGCAATTTGCATTTGGCCACAGAGGGTGGATTTCCCACAGACCTTAGAAACTTGGTCTCTTTCAAGCAGCTGAGTATGTTTCCATTCTTAAAGCTCAGCCCTGAAGTCTTGCTGGTTAATTTCCTCTAAACTATGCAAAGCAAAATGCAGTGCAGGTGAGCAAACGTTCCACAGGGACTTGGGCCACAATTAAGAACTGTGTCCTGTAAAGGAAAAGCACAGATCAGAGGGAGGATCAGCAAGCAGTAGCACGGCCATCACAGCTCTGGGGGAGGTGCTGTATTTCTCCAAGGCTTGGTCATCCTAGCCACTAGAGGATGATGTCAAAACAACCATTTTGTCAGAGGGATGTTTATGGCAAAGGACATACCATAAGTGAGAACAGCTTACTGTATTTAAGCAAGCAAACGCAACTCCTAACTAGTGGGGACAGGTCAGTCAGAAGACTTCACTGCCATACTTGAATCAAGCTTCATCTGCATGCACAGTATCGTAATGGTAGTGACAGTTTTCTTTTTATGAGGTCTGGGCTTACTCTCAGCATCCAGCAACAGATAAAGGGTACAAACAACTGCAGCAGCTGCAACCCAGTCTGCAGGTGGACACAGAGAACTGAATCTGGCTGTGCCTTGCTCTTGGCCTGCTTTCAGCCTGTGCTTGTTTTTGGACACAAACTTTTACACCTCTACCAAAGTAGCTCACAGTGCCAGCTGCTAGGATCTCTGAAGCCTCTCAGTGCAGGGCAGTGCAGGTGAGAGCTGTGGGGGGTGCGAGGGGGGAGAGCTGGGGGCGGGGAGGGGAGAGCGAGCGTCCTCCGAGCGGCGTTCTGTTCCGCAGTTCTTGTCCTCAGCCTGATTTCTCTCTCCTTTCCCTGGCCGAATTTCGGCGCCCCGTTACACGTCCTCCGGGGGGGGGTTGGAGCTGACGGTCAGCCGGTGGCTGGGGGCTGTGCAGGTTCCCATGCCCAGCCCCCCCGCAACAGGCTTCATAGGGTAACAAACACTGCAGAAAGCTGCCCTCGGCTACTCCGGGGGGGGGGAAGCCACTTCGGGCTGCCGGAGCACACGCGGGCGCCCCGCCTTCGGAAGCGGCTGCTTCAGCCGCGGGGAAAGGCGGCACGCAGGCTGCGCCGGCTGCCATCGGCCCGGAGCGACGGCCTGGCCCGGCCCGGCCTCCCTCTCATTGGTCAGCGCCAGCGGCGCCGGCTCGTGGGGTCGCTCCCTCACTTTCGGGGCTGCCCGGCTCAGCCAGAAGCCGCTCTCGGACGCCGGGCGAATCCCGCCTCTCGCGGTCAGCTCTCAGCCTCTCACAGCTCGGTGGCGCCCCGCCACAACGACGACTGCAGAGGACGGCTCGGTTCTTAGGGGGACGGACCGGTGAGTATTACTGCATTATTAGGATGATGGCTCATCGAGGTATGTAGATTGCTCTGAAAGGAATGCCTCCTATTTATTTCCGTAGACATGACAACGGCTACATAGGGCGAGTTCTCAGCTACAAAGCTGTTTCTCAACATGGTCACCACCATTAGCTCTGCTTTTTTTCCAGTGTTGAACGAAAGCCTGCATGCTGTGCTTGTTTAAAAAGCAAAAAAAAAAATCACCTCGGGCTGTTCGAGTGGCTTGTCTTTTGCATTGCTGTTGCCACTGCTGAAATGCACCACCACTGCTTCACTGCGCTCACCTCCACATGTTGGGCTTCATAAATGTTCTGCAGGCATTGATGGATGTCAGTGGTGCGATTTTTTCAGTGTGGAGGAGTTCAGGGACACCCTGTGCTCCATGAGCGCTTCCGAGCCAGGTGCTGTGCTGTCATTCTGGCCCTGTGCTGCCGTCTGTGGCATGGCTGCAAAATGTAACTGAATGCTGGCAGGAAGGTTCAGCCTCTGCTGTCATCCCACCAGCGTCCACCTGTGATGCTGTGGGCCAGCTTTATAAAATAGGAGGCATTACTTTTGGATCAGCCCGTGTGCAATTACGAAAAATTAAGGTTTATAACGGCTGGCCGAGTAAATTGGTGGCTGCTAATGAGATCCACCACTCTAAAATAACAGTAGTTAGACACTGATAGCTTTCAAGGTCAGTTTAAATTATGTGGCTGTGTTGGGTTATTTTTTTTATTTAATGGGTTAATTATTTAATGGGCTAATTTAGTGGGTTTATTTTTTCATTTAACTGGGTAATTTTTTTATTTAACTCTTCAGGTGTGGCTCTTTGAATCTGCAAACTGACCAGCAGACTGGGTGGAAATAAAGCCAATTCATTTTTATTGGAAGTACTGCATACAGAGCTGGAACCCCCGGTAAAAGAAAGGCGCAGAGCTCTTGGATCAAGAGGAGGGCCACTAAGATGATCAGAGGGCTGGGGCACCTCTCCTGTGAAGAAAGGTGGAGAGAACCAGGCTTGTTTAGCTTGGTGAGGAGAAGGCTCCGGGCAGACCTCATTGTGGCCTTCCAATTCTTGAAAGGAGGATATAAACTGGAGGGGAAACAGCCGTTGACGAGGCTGGATAGTGGTAGGATAAGGGGGAGTGGTTTTAACTGTGAAAGGGGGGATAATCTGGTTCGATGTTAGCAGGAGTTCTTCACAGGGAGGGTGGTGACGTGCTGGAACAGCTGGCCGAGAGGTGGTGGATGCCACTGGAGGCATTCAAGGCCAGGCTGGATGTGGTTCTGGGCAGCCCAGTCTGCTGGTCGGTGACCCCACACACAGGGGTGGTCAGGGGGGTTGAAACCAGACGATCTTCAAGGTCCTTTTCAACCCAGGCCATCCCACCAGTCTTTGATTCTATGATCTTCCATTCACAGGTGGAAATCTGGACGGCTTCCCAGCCCCCTGGCCGACAGCTCCACCGCGGTCACCACCGTTGGCTGCACCTTTGTCTCTGGAGCGGTGCGAGCATCGAGCCCTAGGGAGGTGAGAAGAGCAGAGCACGGAGCGTTACGGGCTGAGCGCAGGCAATGCAAGGCAAGGCTGGGCTCCAGCCCGGCTCTCAGGATCTGCTGCCTATGGAGCTCACCTGGGAAGCTGCCGCTTCAGCTCCAGCTTCTGCTGGTTTCTTTCCACAGTGCTGGCAAAAGCCTCTTGCTGATCGAGGTGCGGCTCTAATTTCTGGAGTACCTGAGCCGCTCGCGGGGAAAGGAGGCTGCAACAGGAGGAGAAGGTCATCCCTCGGGCTCCGCCGAGCCGCCCCTGCCTCTGCCCTCACCCGGCCCCGCACCCCGTGCTGCCCCCTGTGTGTCCCCAGCCTTGCACCCTGCCAGCAGTTTTTGGCCCTGGCCGTGCCTGTCCCCGAGCTGCAGAGTCACAGCTGCCCGAGAGCCTCAGGCAGCCGGCAGAGCCCACACACACTCACTCAGCATGCAGTGCCAGCTTGGTCGCCGTCCCCATTTTACTTCCTGGCACAGGATCCATGTCCTTCCTCCATCTCCTTCCCACTTGCTGTCTCCTGGGCTGGGCTGGAGGATGCGGAACACGCACGCTCTCCCTGGCCAACAGCTGCCAAAGAGGAGACGCTGTCAGCAAAGCGGCTGGGAGCACGGGGCTGTTCCCCCGAGGCCTTCTGCCAAGGGCCCTGCAGCAGGCCCCGGCAAGCAGGAGACTCAGCCCTCCGGCCCACAGCTCCCACCGCCCTTCCCTTCTCCCTGCGGGGCTGTGCCAAGCTCTCCTCCCGGGGAGGAGTGGGCCAGCCCCTGCCATGCTGCGCGGCGCCCGTCCCGCTCCCACCCCCTGCACCTTGCTGAGCTCGCACCCTAGCTAAGCAGCTGTTGCCAGCAGGGTCGATCCCTGACGGTACCTGGGGCGGACGCTGGTCCTTCCCTGAGCTCCAGCCTTCCCATGCTGCTATTTCTGCCTGTGTTTGCTCTGTCTGCTGCTGGTGCACAGGCCATGTGTGGTCTGCTTCTTTCCACAGTGCAGACACTTCCCGGAGCTCCTGCAGAGACACAGCAGCATACAGGATCAGCCTCAGCTCCTGGGGCCTTCCTTCAGCTCCCTGCTCCCGCTCCTCTCCTCTGCCGGCCTATCAGCACTGCTTTGCCCCTGAAGGACCAGGGGCCCCAAAGCCAGTGATCCGCAACTCGTGGCAAACAGAGGCCGTATTCCTCTCTCACAGCCTCTGTGTGTGCTATGGCAGGTGGCAGGCCAGGAGGTGAGAAGAGCCAGGGAAGGTGTGCAGCACCCCCCATCTACCAAAGAGGAGCTGAAGGAGCAGACAGAAATGTGAAATGATGGCACCCGAAGGGCTGTGCTCCAGATCACTGCACACACAGAGGCTTTTGCTTCCCTCCCTGTGGAAGCACTCAAGGCCAGGCTGGGTCGGGCTTAGAGCAACCTGGTCTAGAGACAGGTGTCCCTGCCTGCAGCAGGGGATTCGAACCAGGTGATCAGAACGGTCCTTTCCAAGCCAAACTTTTCTATGATTCTACCATTCTGTCATTGGTGCAGTCTCAAGCAGCACAGTCCCTGCAGCAAGGCAGAGCCAGTACCTGCAGCACTCTCTTAGATTCCTCAGTGGCAGGGAGTGCAGTGCTGATCTGTGCAGTAGACGCTTCCTTCTGTTCTCCTTTCTTTGTCCTGCGGAAGCTGCCTGCACACGGCGGGAGAGCGCTGCAAACAGACACAAAAGGAGTCTGCAGGAGCCCGGGGCACCTTGGTCTCCCCGTGCTCCCACAACCGTAAAGATGGGCTCGGCGCAAGGTGGAAAGATCCTTGAAGGGAGAAGAGCTTCTGCCATCAATAGGGATCAGCACTCCCCCAGGGACCGGGGACCAGGGTAGAACATGAGGCTGGTGTGTCTGCCTCGGGAAATCGTGCTGCGCGCTTGCTGTCCCTGGAGAGAACAGCCCCCCTGGGACACACATGTGTCAGGAGCCTTTCTGGGTGCCGAGAGCTGGCAGCTCCGAAGGGGAGGCCGCTCCTACACGAGCGCACGCATCTCCTTCTTTTTGCTGAAGACCCTCACCTGGTAGGAGGCTCCTTTGCCAACTTTTGCTGCCTTGAGCCTGGCTCGCGCTGCAGCAGCATGGGGGGGGTAAGTGTCTTCCGCTTTGGCAGCAGCCTGCCGGCAGAGACTCCTGCAACCAAGAGAGAAAGAAGTTCTTCAGAGCAGCCCCACGGGCACAGCACGTGAACCTGGATCCGGTCACCCGGCACGGGACAGGGCCCCCCTCCCCACAGCTGGGACCCGCTCCCTCACCTCTACTCATCTTCCGCTCTATTGCGGATTTCTTGTCTGCAGCAGCCTCTGCTCTGCTCTTTCCCACAGTGAGCTGAAACCTGGAAAGAGAGAGTGACAACCCTTGAAGAAGGATGACCTCCTACCCCACGCAACTGGTCAGCGATATTTATCTCTGTGCTATGCAAAGCGTGGCACCCTTTTCCTTCCTGGCCATGCCAAACCAGCACATGTAGCCTAAATTCCTCTGCATGTGCAGTCCGTTCCCTCTGAGGGGAATCAGGACAGCTTGGGCACCAGTAACACAACCGCGATCCCCCATCACTCCGGGAGAAGACACACACAGCCGAAAAGCAGCAGTAGTTAACCAGGAGCCAGACTTTCCAGGATTTTTCCCCAGCTAGATGCTGAGCACAGAGACCCAGCAGGGCATGTCCCAGAGGAGGAGGTGGGAAGGAAGCCTGTCTGCTGGCCAGCTAAGAGCTGCAGAGGAAACGCACTCACCTCGGGAACAAGCGGATCCCATGGGCGGTGGTCTCTGGCCCGAAGTCAGCAAGATCTTCCGTCCAGAATCTCTGCAAAGGGACACAGACCTGCTGGAGGCTTGCCAAGGCCATTTCTTCATGGCTCTTGTTGACAGGAAGCAAAACCTGGCTCCCATGCCAAGAGAAAGCTGCTCTCCACCAAAGCCTCATCTGTGAACATCAGAGCTTTGTTCTGCTCTGAAGGAGCAGGATGGCAAAATAGTGAGGCCGTGCAAGAGCACTGCCAGGCAGGGGCAGAGATCCAGGAAGTCCCTTTGCCCGTGGAGAAAGCCGTGGGGGCAAGTGTGGGGAAGGGCATTTGACTGGCCTGCCACATCCAGGCTGGCCAGCAGTGATCCGATGGCGCACCTCACAACCTCCTCAACTTACGGTGTGGATCAGTGCGAGGACGGGGGCGTTGCTCTCCAGCGTTTCAACGCAGCTGCAGAAGAACCTCATGCAGAGGTAGTTGTCTTGGCAGGTCATAACGCCGAGGTTCTTGAACACGAATGGGACGGGCGTCTTGTTCCTCAGGAGGTGACAGTAGAAGAGGACGCTCTCCCGCACGCAGTGCGGCACCAATTGCAGCGGGACGCCGGAGGCTCGCGAGAGCTGCCGGTAGTTGAGCGGCTCAATCTTGACGCTGTCTGCAAGGAGAAGGCACATCCTCACTGCCACAGCCAGTCCATGCAGCATTCGTAACCAAATCCCACAGAAAAGGTCCTTCAGAGAACACAGCCGTCCGGACGTGGGGCAGGAAGGGGAAGGTGGCTGCTGCCTTCTTACCAGGGATGGTGTCGCTGGGAGACTGGATGTCTGGCAGCCACAGCGCCCCAATATCCAGTTCGAAGACGGGTCTTCGGACTGGAAGCGCCTCTTCTTTGCTGTGGAGTTGTTCTCGGACCCCAGCAAAGATCCCGAGTTCCGGAACCAGGACTCCCTGCACAGGGAAAAGACAGGCTGACGAGCGTGTACTTTAGGGGCGGCAAAAGCCACGAACATCAGGAGTGTGGGGTCACTGCTCTCCCCGCTCCCCACTCCTGACGGACAGGGGGGCGAGATGGGTCTCTCTGGAAAGCTTTAGAAAACATCTGTGGTCCCTCCTATACAGTCATCTCTGTACAGTATTTCCCAACATCCCTTGGCTAGAGAAGAGCCCGGGCATGGACAGCACAGGGCTTAAGCCTGGGACTGATGGCCACGGATTATCCTTGGCACAGCCAGAAAACCCCCCACCCATTTCTCCCTTTGCTCTCCCTGTTCTGACCGCAGGGTAGAGCGAAGCCCCTGCGTGTGCCAAACGTTTGCTCAGGGCAGCTCTGGCCATGGGTTTCCCTCCCAGTTGGCCAATAAGCCGCTCTGGGCACCCGGCTTGGGCTCAGCGTGCTGCTGTGGTGCTCAGGGAGGTGTTGCTGTGCAGGGCCCAGGCTCCCGGCAGCACTGAACTCCAGGGCGAGGGCCACTGGGACACCAGCCCACCTTGTCCAGCTTCATCTGTTCCAGGATGTACTCAGACACAGCATCCCAGACCGCCACAATCTCTGCAAAGTAAAGAAAAGATATGTCAAGCTCCAGGCCAGCCTCTTCACAACCTCTTGGCAAGCTCCTCACACAGACAGTGATTGATACACGCACACGCAGAAAAACACCACCATGGCTATGGAGCTGGGCTTTGCTCCGATTTCAGCCTTATTCAGAGCCCCAAGGGGAAATGGGGACATAGGAAGCCTCTGGGAAACGGGATGTCTTTCCTCCCAGAGCTGGAATCTACAGAAACACCCTCTCCCAGGGAAACCTGGCCTTGGACTGCCCTATCACAGAACCTGGGGGCTCTGGGCAGCTCTACTCCCAGGACCTGGCTGCCACGTGGTCCCCAGAGCCCAGTGGGACCCTTTGGCGGGGCTCTTGCAACGGCTCCCAGCCACGTCCAGCCAAGCACAGAGGGCAGGAGCTGCAGCTTTGGACTAACAGCTGACAGCCCCGTGCGATGCCTTGGGAAGGGGGTCTGGAAAGCCTTACCTTCGGCAGAGAGTTCCAGCAGCGTTGGGAACGCGGAGGCCAGCTCCGAGCTGATGCTCACAGTCCAGAAGCCTTCCATGTGGCTTGCCGACAGCCCTCAGCTCAGAACTAAGGATGACCTCCACCAACAAGGCTCCTCAACCAACCAACAATTCTCTGCAAAGTGTCCCTGCTCCTCCACGCGTCAGCGAGGGTCACCCAGTGCAGACTGGCTGCACCAGAACCAACTCCTGGCCGGAGAAGGACAGAGCCCCTGAGCAGTGCTGCAGCAGCACCCAGGCCTTGCAGGGAAGTGCCAGCACTGCCGCTGCCCCAGGGAAGATCTGCTTGTGAGGCAGCAAATGGCATTGTGACATCAGCCCGTGTCACCTGGAGCTCTGTTAGGCATTGTGACATCAGCTCGTGTCACCTGGAGCTCTGTTAGGTCACCGGCACAGAGAGGGGAGTTCCTCTTCCAGGAGGAGTTCCAGTTAACTTACTAAATTATTTTACAAAAGAACGCAAGCCTAACTTTAATGGTTTATTAAGAGAAGTTGTTTCACGTCTGCTAAATAAACAAAACCCTGTGCATTCTCAGGCACACACACCTCACGAGCTTGAAATATCATTATCGACAGTCGCCGTGGTTTACTCGGCAAATGGCACAAGAACCTGCCACGTGTCACACAGGCTGAATTCAGCTCAACAGAGGCTGGGTGGTGAGCGCGAGAGGCAGTCAGCCCTGCACCATGCCTGCCATGCATCACACGGCACTCTTTCTGCTATGGCCCACACGAATGTTGCTCAGTGCCGACTCCCATAGCCTGAGTGTTACATCGCGGTATCTGCAGGCAGACGAGATGCCAGCAGGTGCCGTGGAGGCAACTGACGCTGGCAGGAGAGGCTGCAGAAGGATTCCCGTCATCCGGCATACGCAGGCACACCTGGTGCCTTTGGAGATGTTCTGTTGCCTTTCGAGCAGGGTTTCCAAGTTCCAGAAATGCTTTTCTACCAAGTTCTGCGAGTTGTAGGCACTTCAGAGCAAAGAAACCTCACCCACACACATCAGAAAAATAAATCCGTCCAGGGGAAGTTTTTCACTTAGAAGCTGGTGAGTTGCTGGCACAGGCTGCCCAGAGATGCTGTGCATACCCTGTCCTGAGGGGTGTTCAAGTTCAGGCTGGATGGCACCCTGGGCAACCTGACCGGGAGCCTGATCTCGCTGTTGGCCGCAGCAGGGGGTTGGAACTGGGTGATCTGTGAGGCCCCATGTGCTGAAAGGCAGCCACGTGGTCTCCCCAGAGCCTTCTGTTCTCCGGCCTCAACAAGCCCAAACCTCTCAGTCTCTCTCCAAAGGAGACGTTCCTGATGCTGGCCTTTCAAGTCACGGTGCTGACATCCAAGTTACGTGCCCATCACGTGCTGATGCTGTTGTGCCAGTCGATGGGCTCAACAGGGAGAACAAAGACACCAACATCTTTGAGATAGGCTTATTATACTGCCTACGACAAAATAGTAGAAACAATAATAGTGGCAGCGTCTGTAGCCAAAGGAGAAGCTAGCAGTAAAGGCAGTAAGCAAGGCAGTGGGCCTGCTCCTTGCTACGTGAGCGCAGCGATGAAGGAAGGTACGTCACCAATTGCCCCAGTATTTAACCATCACCCAGAGCCGCAGTCACTGGGGAGCCCGTTTACAATGAGGATCTGGAGAACCTCTCCCAGCCACGGGGAAGTTGCATCCATCAGCAATGCATCCATCCCACGGGTAAGGAATCCAGAGCCGCTGCAAGCAGCTCCAGCCTTTCTAGCACGGAATAAACCAATCGACGGAGCAGTCCGGGGGAACAGCCGGTGCCCTCTTTCTCCTCTCAGTTTTCTCCCCGAAGCCTGGCCAGGGCTCAAGGAGAAACAAAAGGAGTCGTGCTGTCAATCCTGCTGTAGCATGGGCCTCTTTGGCAAGGCTGTCTGCCCAGCCCCCGCAATGGGCTTCATCGGGTAACAAACACGGCAGCAAAGCTGCCCTTGGCTACTCGGGGGGGGGGGGGGGGGGGGGGGGGAGTCGCCGTTGGCATGCAAACACAGTGCGACAGCACGCAGGTTCCAGCAGCCCGGCTGGTGTCACTGGCACTGGGACTTGCTCTGCCCGCCCCGGAGCCGCAGCCTGCGAGCTGTCCCGGCCTCGCACGCTAACCAGCCGACGCCTGCCGTGCTGCATGCGGTCCCTCCGGGCAGAGGCCGGCCAGCTCGGAGCCTCGCTCGGCCGCGCTGCGGCCTGCCGGCCCCGCGGCCACCTCCGACTCCACTTTGAGCTGCCGCAGCGTACGCGGGCGCCCCGCCTTCGGAAGCGGCCGCTTTAGCCGCGGGGAAAGGCGGCAGGCAAGCTGCGCTGGCTGCCATCGGCCCGGCCCGGCCCGGCCCGGCTCCCCTCTCATTGGTCACCACCCGCGCCCACCCTCCCCCCGGCTCACCTCTCATTGGTCAGCACCGGCGCCCACCCGCCCCCAGCCTCCCTCTCATTGGTCAGCGCCAGCGCCGCCGGCTAATTTCTCGGGAAAATGACAGTCGGGTCCTCCACCTGCGGGGCAGCAGCTCAGCACAGCACTGACGGCCATCTGAGCCGAGCGAGAACCGAAGGCGCCCGCCTTGACTGGGTGCCGGGCTCAATCGCGTCTCGATCCGCGGGGTCGCTCCCTCCGGACACCGGGCTAATCCCGTCTCTCGCGGTCAGCGGCCGGTTCTCACAGCTCGGTGGCGCCCCGCCACAACGACGACTGCAGAGGACGGCTCGGTTCTTAGGGGGACGGACGGGGCCCCGAGGCACGGGGCGGGCGGCGGCGGGGGCGCGGGGCGGCGGAGCGCCGCTTTCCCCGCACGGAGCCCCGCGGCCGCCATTGGTGGAGAGCCCGACGCTCGGCCCCGCCTTCGCCGCGCTGCCATTGGTCGGTCCGCGGGACGAGGCGGGCGCTCCACGCGGGGTGCTTTCCGTCGTTGCGTCATCACCACGCGCCTCGGCTGGCCCCGGCCCGGCTGCTCGCTGCGTTTCCGGGGCCCGCGCCTCCGGCTCGTTTTGCTTCGCGCGGCGTTCCTGCCGCTCTGCCCCCAGCCTGCAGCGATGCCTGGGGTTGTTGTGAGCGAAGTGTGGGACCGGCGAGTGGCGGTGTTGAGCCTCGTGCCGTTGGCGTCGGCCGTCGATCAGCCTGTGCGGACCGCTCTGCAGGGTCTTCGAATCCTTAGGCAGATAATAGCAGGATGCAGGAGCTGAGGGGCGATGGGAGGGAGGGGAGCGTCCTGCCGTGCCGCCGGCAGCCCGGGGACCGCGAGCTGTGGGTCCTCCATCCGTCAGCACAGGAGCCGCGGTTCTGGCTGCAGCGGCAGGAACTCGGCGCAGCCCTGCACAGAGCGGACCGGCCGCAGGGGAAGATGATGGCCGTGGAGCGTGAGTGCCTCAGCGGTGTCTGCAGCCTGCGAGGAGCTGAGCGGGGCTGGGAAGAGGAAGGTGTGGGAGTGCTGGGGAGGGACGCAGAATGGCAGTGTCAGCGGCAGGCTCGGCTGCTTCTTCCTCCTCCAGAGCCCACTGTCACATCTGTGGGGTTCCACAGAACGCGCAGAAGTAAGGTAAGTTGAAGTTGGACAAACTTCTATACAGAAAGGGTTGTTAAGCACTGGAATGAGCTGTGCAGGGTGGTGGTTGAGTCACCATCCCTGGATGTGTTTAAAAACCATCTGGATGTGGTCCACGGGGCCGTGATTTAGAGGAGGGAACAGCCTGGCAGGAGCAGTCCTTGGGAACAGCCCAGCAAGAAGGACCTGGGGGTCTTGATGGAAGAAAAGCTTAACGTGAGCCAACAGTGTGCTCTTACAGCTGGGAAAGCAAATGGGATCCTAGGCTCCATCAGCAGAGGAGTGGCAGCAGGGACAGGGAAGTGATTGTCCCCCTCTGCTCTGCTCTCGTGAGTCCTCATCTGCAGCACTGCCTCCAGGTCTGGAGCCTGGAGCCCCAAAGATGATCGGAGGCTGGAGCAGCTCCCCTATGAAGACAGGCTGAGGGTGCTGGGCTTGTTCAGCCTAGAGAAAAGGCGGCTGCGGTGTGATCTCATTGCAGCCTTTCAGGACCTAAAGGGAGCCTACAAACAGGAGGGGAGTCAACTCTGAAAGGGTAGATAACAGCAGGACAAGGGGAAATGGCTTTGAGTTGGGGGAGGAAAGATTAAGGTTGGAAGTCAGGGGGAAGTTCTTCACAGAGAGAGTGGAGTGCGAAGACCAGAAGGAGTTGTGTTACTTTAGTTTGATGAGCTGCTGCATTTCACTGGACTATGATCACTGTGAGCAAAGTCTGTGAAGAAGGAACTGCTTTTCTATTTGTGCCACTTTTTGCCCCCCTCGCTCTCTCTCACCCCATACGTCACCACGTGGACATTATCTGCTAATTGTGCTTTCAACGGTGATTTTCTTTCCCTTATGATCCTAACGCTGTGAATTTCCCAGTGGTTGCTGAGACAAAGGTGATCATAAATACAGGTTTTAGCACTATTGCATCTAGGAATAGAAAATGCCCAATAGCTAATTGCATTCTAATGCAAAAAAGAAAGCATAGTTCCTTTTTAATAAAGCAAAAAACAAAGTGCTTCTCCCCCTTCCATCTCTTCACCCTCCCCGCCCCCCCAAAAAAGGGACAAATCCTCAAACATTTATACTAAGTTAATATAGTGAGCAATGCAAAGTGAGCAAAGAGAACTTATGTCTTTTTAATGTCTGTTTCCTTCCCAGATGGCCCTGAGACCTGCCATGTGCCTATGGAAATGGTGAGAGCGACTTCTGAGGCTGTGAGCGGTGGCTGATGAGAGAAGCTGAAGAGAGGAGCCTCCGAGTTGAACTGACTGGTAAATCCAAGCCTCTTTGTTCTAACAAACACATCTGACCCTTAATTACTGTAAGGGACCGATGTTTTCATGTGGCACCAGACAAGGCAGGGAAGCTCTAGGACTTGGTATGCTTGCTTTGGTGCTTCTCTCAGCCTGTTTTTGCCTTTCTGCAGTAGCCTAACATCCAAGGCAGGGACTTGCCAATAATCTTCTCGAGTCCAATGGCATTAATGCTTAGACCTGCTCACTGCGGTGAATATAAATGATTTATCATGAGGCTGCACTTCTGAATTTTCACTGTCCTCAGTGAAGCTTCTCAAGCTGTGGTTCACATCCCACTGAGAAAGTCTGCCCTTTGTGTTGCAGTGTGGGAAGGTACATGCAATGTCCATCTCTTCTGGAGCATTCCCCTTCCTGCTGCTGGCTGTTTCAGTCAGTGTCACTCTTGCTCTCTGGTACGGCACTGAAGCTTGAGAAATGGACCTTGGAGGGGGTGGGCTGGGAGGTGTGTGTCCGACACGAGTTTTTGCCCTGCTGTGCTTTTACAGTAGAATATAGGTTCTGCATGTGAAGTATTTCAGTAATATCTTGTTTCTGTTGTTACTTGATGAGAAACCGTGGAAAAAGGCATCATCTCCCAAGCTGAAGAGCCTGTTATATGCTATTGCTCATAGCATATAATGTGTAACAAGGCTAAGGGTTGTAGAGAGCTCTCCCAGCACGACTGTTCTTTTCAGTGAGGCTGCAGGCTGCGGGCCGAAGGCTGAGAGAAATAAGCACCTGCCTTGAATTTTCGTACAGACTTTTTCCCTGGAGGGCTGCCAGAACCAATTGGAGCAATTTCCTTTGGCCAACCAAAGCCGTGGAGTTCAGTAATGGCTGTAGAAGATTTGTTTCTGTGTATGCGATTTGACATGTTGGCACATCCTCACTTCTCAACATGGCTTTTTACCTTTTGCTTTACAGATATGGAATGAAAGGGCATTTGATTGCAAATGGATCAAGGTGTGTCTGTTTTCCTTCTGAAAAGTGAAATATGCTGCTGAAGTTCCCTTGTTATCACACATGCTTTGCTTGTCTGCTTTTCTCCAGAGCAGAGACCTTCATCCTGTGCCTGCTTGGCTTCCTGACCTCTTGTGGTAGCTGCAGGCACGAAGCACTAAGAGGAGCACAGGAGCAGATCCTGAGGTGTTTGGGGTTTGTTATTATCTGAAGCTGGTAAGTAAGTGTATGCTACATAGGAAGCTGCAGTTGAACTGCACAGATTCATCTTCTGACTGGCTGGCAAACAGCTGATTTTATAAGTCAGAGATCTGGAATTCCTTCAGATTCTCCAGTGACGTTCCAAAGGATACGATGCCCTTAAATTATTGGTACACAGCTTCAGGTTTTTGTTACATGTTCGGATCTGCCTTTTGCACAAAGTAAGAGCTCTGTGTTTTAACATCATCAAGTTAATCTGTCTGTACGTTTGCTAAGGTCTCTCTCAGGTTGTTGTGTTCAGTTATGAAGAATAGGTGTAAGGATTTTGTTATCTGGGCTATCTGTACAACTTCTTTCTGCGAATCCAGTCTAAAATGTGCTGCAGTCTTTTGATATGTTTACTGTCTTCTGTACATTTTCTTGCCAAACTGCGATCTGGCAGAAAGTTGCTGAGAAGTCATAGAGATGATCTTAAAACAGACTAGGAAACAGACTTTATTTCCAGTGAAACAATTACTAATCTAAGAAAAACCTTATTAAAGAAAGAGAAGGCACCACTATCTTATGCAAAATCATTTCAAAGCTTATAGCTTTGATGTGACTCCGTTTTGGATAAATAAGGATAAGTGCATGGTCTGAAATAACAGAGCTCAGCAGAAAGCATCCGCATGCTTGTCAAAGGAAATTTGAGTTGGCTGTCTTGTCTCCTGCACATGTAAAGGTTTAACAGGCTTGCCACGTGACTTCCTGGCTCTCATATGCTTATTTGGAGGTTGGTGCTTCTCCTGTTTTCTTCCTTTTACAAGCCCTTTGTGATAACACCAGCCCCGTTGATTTAGCATTCCAGCAGCCCGATCTGCATGCAGAAATTATTGTAGAACAGGTCCAAATCTGTAAATGCAGTATTGCTCTTATCTTGGCTTTTGTATCATAAATCAGTTCTTCCTGGTGAAGGGAGGCTTATCTTTCTGCTCATTTGAAAGGGAAAGCCTGAACAGTTGCCAGGAGGGACAGCGACAGGACATGGTTGGAACACAGTGTATAATCAAGAGAATTAGGCAGAGTAAACAACGATCACAAAAGAGAATTAGCAGAAGAGCTTACCCTTCAGCTGAGCTCACCAGAAGACACCAAGAGAGGTGATGTCCAGAAGAGCTCCTTCCCTACTGGCAGCCAGCTCTTAAATAGGTCTAGGAGGGGTGGAGCCAGGCTCCACCCCTTCCGGCAGCACAGGTGAATTGCCTTCACTGTGCTCCTCTGGCTGACTCACGGCTCGCCTCAGGTGATCAATCAGAGGTTCAGGCCTTGACTCAGCAGTTCCCATACACACAGGGACCTTCAAGGCAATCCTGAGCACAGCCCACTTATCGACATGTCTCTCTGGCGTGCCCAGAGTAGCCAGCAAATCTTCCTCTCTTCTTTCCCCTTTTGCCAACTTTGATTCTCAGTCCAATGAGACAGAGGTGAGGCCCCCCGCCAGGAGGCCAAGGTTGGGTTGGCAGGCCTGAGGAGGAGAAGAACAAGGTGGAGTTCGTACGTCCACATGAGTAATTGGTGGGAAGCACTGGGGATAGCAGTCATACTTAACTCAAGAGGCACTGGCCAGTGTGAGGCACAGCGTCCAACAGGCTCCTCTACCCCCTTCCAGCACTGTGAAGACAGCAGTGGAAGGCAAAACAGAAAGCATCCTGAATTCCTGCTTGAACAGTGTTGTCTTTTTGCCTCTGGAACTGGGCATACTAAAAGAGGAGGAAGATCTCTATGCTGAGGTGTGTGCTGGGTAAGCCACCAGAGCCCCAGGTCCTTTTGGGCTGCTCCTTGTGCTGTGACCATAGGAGTCTCGGGCAGGGTAGCAAACCAGCTTTGCTTTTCCACCCTCATCTCTTCTTTGGGGATAGGGTTAGGATGAAGTGCCCTGTGAGGTGCCGCAGGCGCCCTTCTACAGCTCTCTATCCTCTTGCTGACCACTATTGCCATGAATGTCATGCTGTGAGCCTTGGTGCAGAACTCAACTCCAGAATGAGGGAGGAGCTGCGCAGCATCTTTCAGGTCTGGCAGCTACAAAGAGCGGGTCACTAGGAGGGTTCCACAGCCCGAGGGATGGGAGTGTCCCTACTGCAGTGGCACAGACCCTCCTTGTACGTGAGTCTGCAAAGGATCCTGCCCCTGCTGCTTTGTTCTTCCTTCCCTGTGGGGAAGATCCTAGAGCTCCTGCTGGAGCAGCAGAAGCTCCCAGGACAAGTACCAGCAGATTCTCTCTTTGCAGGCTCTGCCCCACTTCTTCCACTCCCAGCACATACACGTTCGTACAAGAGCCCTGCATGGGATTCTATGGATGATCGTGGATTTTATGGAAAAAGTAAGGAGCCAGGCACCCATCAGCCAGGCTGTCTCCCATTCTCCACATCCCAGAGCAGCTCAGGGGTGCCTGCAGCTGGGAGCTCTCAGCAGGGCTCTGTCCTGAACAAGGGTCTTTGCCCCGTCTTCATCCCCACTCTTCCCTCTCCAGGCCCTGCTCCGTCTCCACTCTACTCTGCCTTCCTCTCTTTTTCTGTCACCCAGGACTGGCAACACACTGAAAATTGCGAGTTTATATATGAGTCAGTCATCAAGATCTACTTCCCAATCCTGGGAGAGCTGCTGGGTCAGCTCTGCCTTTTCAGTTGTGGCCTTGATACCACCAGAGTTCCAGCTGTAGATGTGCTTTATCATCTCCGTGCATTTGTCAAACACAAAAGAGGTAGGAGAAGATTGGTCAGGCAGCATCTCTCTGCTCCTCTGTCTGCTCATGTCTCTTGTTCTTATGCTTCTTGTGCTTCGTGAAGCCTGACCATGGAGTCTGTGAGTTTCCTGAGCTCCTTTACTCTTCAGAGCAGCTTCATATTTCCTAAGCTCCCTCTTGTTCCCAGCACCCACTGCCTTTAGCTGTATAATCCCTTTCTTTCACTCTCTTCAACCCATCAACCGTGGGTCCCATCAACCTAGGTCTCCTACGCCATGGGTCTCCTACACCATAGGTCTCCTCCACCATAAGGTGCCATTTTCAGTTTAAAGCAGCTTTTCCCCAGTTGCTGAGTTTGATGACAAAGCTGACTTTCCTTCTGACTCTTCTGTGTTTCCTCCCTTTTAGAGACAGCCCTGACAGAAGTGATGGAAAAGTATGTGCATCTCCATGAGATGCTGCAGGATACAAATTTTGTATGTGGTAACTTGTCCAGTCCCAGTGATTGTGCCAAGGTGATGTCCTGCCTTGCTGAGGATCTTGCTCACAGCATCAGCAGGAAATGTTTGTGAGCAAGGGGAGTGTTATGGCAGCAGATCCAGCCCTCCTGGCTGTCAGCAAACCCTTCTTACCAACTGCCCATGCCCCCACCCACAGTCCTTCTCCCAGAGCCCTCTCTTGCTATCCTGCACCACGCAGTGACAGAAGCTGATGCTTCCAGCTTTCCTACAGACTGCTGCCCAGCATCTCTCTGCAGAGCTGCTCTCCCTGCTGGACCAGGAAGCACCACTGGAATGCTCAGTGTGGCATGTCTTCTCTCCCCTGCTTCCACCCACAGGTGTTTGGAGGATACCTCAGGCCTGCTGAGAGGATGGACGTCATCCTCACAGCTCTTGAAGTGATGGTTGACTCCAGCATCTATGACAGAGAGGCAGCCTGCAGTGTGATAGCAGTGGCCATGGAAGACTACGCCTTCTGGATACCAGATGTAACCACGTTTTGTCCACTGCCCCATCCTTGAGTCCTTTCAGGTGCTGTTCTTTCCTTCCCAGCCGAGGTCTCTTGGGCTCCTGAAGCCATTCTTAGCGGTGGGGAGTGCAGTGGTTTCAGCAGCACCTGTGGAAATGGTTGTGGTCTGTCCTCACCTGTGTCTCCTTTAGAAAACCCAGATCACAACCTCCATCCACAAGAATTTGAGGAGCATTGCCACAAAGGCAGCATGGCACTGCCTGGACTCCCTGCTCCTCCTTCTGACCAGCTAGATTCACATGGAAGAAGTCAGGAACCTGTTGCAGTCCTCTCCACCAAGCGACAGGTACTGTCCTTAACAGCCTGGAGGGCTTCTTCCAGGTGCCCTCCTGCTCATGCAGGGCTCACCAAGCAATGTGGGCTTGAAGGGTATGGGCTTGAAGGGTTCTAGCTTTGGCTAAGGCAGCCCTGCCTCCAATTTGGGTTTGTAGCAACACCCTGGACGTGTGGGAGCTGATGCTCTGCATGCCACGGACCTTGGAGAAGGTTTTGAAGGAGGTGACCAAGGGTTCACAGATGAGCAGGCTGGTAGAAGGAGTCACAGAAGACATGTGCATCCTCTTCTTGGCAGTGAGTTAATGGATAACACTTTGCTGCCCTTCAGGGCTGCGCGTGCCCCTGCAGGCTCTTGCTGATGTCTTTGTT